AGACATGTCCAAACTTGTAGGGATTTCAGCCTTTGCATGCTGTTGTAGAAGGGAGAAACCAGAATTTGTGCCATTTTGTGGGGGAGGAGAGGAAAGGACTTACCCACACAGAGAAGGGTCAGAACTAGTTTGAAAACTTTCCCATGATGAAACCTCCTGGACTGTTGTTCCTACCCCCATTCCTTTCAGCATGTTGATACTTTTAAAATCAGGAGAAACTATTTGTCTGTTTTCTCCGTCAGTTCTTTTGACGCTAATCAGTGCTGCGGATCTTGTTTTGATTGGTGTCTTGATGCATCATAAAACGAGTTGCTGAAAGAGTTCAATTATAATATCAGCAATTCTGCCAAATGTATTGAGCTGCTCTGAAAAGCAACTTCTTTTTCCTGACCCAGATACACAGTTTCCTACTGTGGTAGATGCTGCCAGAAAGACTCTTGGCAGAAAGCCAGAAATAAAATTATACTGCAGAATTATACTCCTTTCCTGATCCAAGCAGCCTTGTGTGTGCTGTGATGAAAAATTACCTGCCTTTTGCATGCAGAGCAGAAATTAAAACTAACTCACAATTAAGGCTCCAGGACTCTTTTTTTTTAATATTAAAAAACCCCTCTTAATTTCACTGGATGCTGCGTAAACTGCAGTATTTTTTGCTGCTGGGTCTGATTCCCACCTTGTAAACCCGGACCCAGTTAGGGAACCCTCCCTCCATACACTCCTAGGCAGGCATTCGTTCTCTAGCACCCCTGCTCTCAACTCTGTGGAGGTGGACGCAGATTGTCTCAGGATTATTTGCTTCGTCCTTCAACCTACTGTTTACACTGCCATGCCTCTCTCGCCCTTGCTAGAGTGAAGGAAAGTTTAGAAGGACAGAGGGTGCTTTAGTGCCCCAGAAAAGTATTGCCGGCTTGTTCAGTCTTGCTGAAGCATTGAAGTGTAGGCCTCACGGACCCTGGACTCTTCTTCACACGGTCTGGCCAGCAGCCCGAGCAGCAGTTCAGAGAGAAGTGAGGATTGAATGACTAAAGAGTTCAGGGTACTTTGATCCTGTGTCCGTTCCCCAGTGGGGAGGGGGGGGGTAATAAGGCTCCAAAAGTATCCAAAGTTCCCTTTTCTAAGGGTACAATGGCATCTCCGCTGGCCAGTTAATTTTAGTGCACACGGAGTGTGCAAACCCGCTGCTCTGCCTGCCACCTCAACAATCAGAGGTGTGTAAAGACAGCTAAAGGGCTGCATGTTGGTATCTCCTAAGCCAGTTATCGTAACATCTGTTCGTCCGGGAAACGCAACTGACAGCAGCAGGAACAAACCTGGTTGTACAGGCTGCATATTAAACTCTTTCCTTCGCTCCTCTCACGCCCAAGCCAGACGTTCCTTGTGAAGGATGGGGTATTGAATGGAAACGTTTCTGGGCTCCCAGTGGCCATGCTGCTGTGCACGGAGGCCCAAGCAAGCTGCAGACCCTGCAAAATTGGTTACATTAGGATCAAGAACCCATTTTCTGCTGATTTTTCTTTTGTTGAGAGGCACTGTATTTTTAAGCACTGGTATTTGGTTATTGCCAGACCTACTGTCGAGACAGTTGAGAGAGAGCAGGAGTTACCTCGTTCAGTGAGATGGGGAAGTATTTGTGCCCATTTTACAGTTGGGGAGTGAGGTATGGATATAAGTGACTTTCCTAAGGTCACTTGTGGCCGTGTTTATCTTAGAGGCTATGGTGGCATTAGCCATAGTGTAGTCTAGGCAAGAGCAGCTGTTACCATCATGCCCTCGTGGCCGCTCCTTCCCAGTGCCAACTGCCCCCTCTCCACTAGTGCTGCTCTCACAGGTGTGGTTGTGCCAGCTGGAGAGTGGTCCCAGTGTAGCTGCTGCGGAGTGAGTTAGTGGCCGAACAAAGGGGCTGAGTTAGGAGGATTGGCGGCCGTTTCTCTGAATCCCTTCTCATGGGCCTGGTAACGAGCCCAGTGCTTGGCACCTCATCACGAGGCTGGGGGTGGGGGGAGGCGCGGCTCTCTAATCTTGGCTTCTGTTTATCTTCCTCTCCGCGCCTTGTTCTCAAAGCAGCATCTGAATTTTTAAAAAGCATTCTGTTTAGTGGTTGTATTAAACGTTCTCTCCCGGGGCCTGAACTGCAGCAAGTTTTCCTTTGTGTAGATGCTTCTGAGCAGGATTGTTGGACAATTAATAATTTGAAAGAACACCGCAGGACAGCTCCAGCTACGCGTTCAGAATCGTGTGGGGTGATTTGTGGTCGTCTTCCCGAACAACGTTGATAAACGGGGCCGTCGTCTGGAACTCCCTTCCTAATCTGAGCATAGAGCAGCCATTTTTTCAGCCCGCAATGACTCACTTTTGGGGAAAAGTAATAGAGATGTAGCCGTGTTAGTCTGGTGTAGCTGAAACAAAAAACAGGACTATGTAGCACTTTAAAGACTAACAAGATGGTTTATTAGGTGATGAGCTTTCGTGGGCCAGACCCACTTCCTCAGATCAAACTGTAGAAGAATATAGGCATGACCATATATACTAAAGGGATACAGTTTTGTTGAGTATATCCCTTTAGTATATATGGTCGTGCCAATTCTCTTCCACTATTTGATCTGAGGAAGTGGGTCCGGCCCACGAAAGCTCATCACCTAATAAACCATCTTGTTAGTCTTTAAAGTGCTACATAGTCCTGTTTTTTGGGGAAAAGGGCAGGTAGAATTGGACTAATGGTGACTCTTCCCCGACTTGTGTTGCTTGCGAGTGACACTTGGAGCTGCTCTGAATGGCTGCATTGTCCTGGCTAGCATTGAGAAGGGTTGATGCTGCATAACACGTCCACTGTGCAGCAGAGAGAAATTAGCCCTGGACACAGCTGTAAACATTTGCTTTCAGGCTGTTTCACGTTTTCAGAGTATACGGAAAACAGCTCAGTGCCTGTGGAATTGGACCCTGAGGTACGTTTGTTCTCTGAACTCAAGAGGTGATTGCAGGCGTGCCCTCTACACAGTGTCGTCTGCACAGTGAAGGCCCGAATTTGCTCAGTCAGCCATTTTCATCCATCTGCTTTCAGAGTGTGGTCACCTATAACCTGCAGCTTGTAGCAGTCCTGGAAGGGGGTCAAGGCCCGAGGACCATGGTGACAGGCACATTCTCTGCATTCAGACGGAGGCCTTCCCCCGCTGACTCTGAAAGACTCTGCACCTTGTGACGGAGGGCAGGAGGGAGGAAAATGCATAAGGCAAAGTGACAAGGATAAGGCAAAGTGACAAGCATGGAAACAGGTCCTGGTGTGAAGGGAGAGCTTGTCCTAGATGGTTTGGTGGGCTGGGGACCATCAGTAACATAGAGGAAAAGCTTGAGACACCTATCAAAGCCACCCAGCACTCCAGAGAGGCTGGGAGATATTGCCCGTTTTACTGCTTTAGGGGGACTTGGGCACAAAGAGCCAGACAATACCAAGTGAAGACCAGTAACATCAGAATGGCCACACTGGGTCAGACCAAAGGTCCATCTGGCCCAGTATCCTGTCCTCTGATGGTGGCCAGTGCCAGGTGCCCCAGAGGGAGTGAACAGAACAGGGAATCAAGTGATTCCTCTCCTGTCACCCATTCCCAAATTGTGACAAACAGAGGCTGGGGACACCATCCCTACCCACCCTGGCTAATAGCCATTGATGGACCTAACCCCCATGAATTTATCTAGTCCTTCTTTGAACCCTGTTGAAGTGCTCTGGGGCCGCATGACCACGCGCTGCCTGCCATCCTCGTGCTCTGGGGCCGCATGACCACGCGCTGCCTGCCATCCTCGTGCTCTGGGGCCGCATGACCACGCGCTGCCTGCCATCCTCGTGCTCTGGGGCCGCATGACCACGCGCTGCCTGCCATCCTCGTGCTCTGGGGCTGGGGAGTCTGGTGTGCATGTGCACACCTGCCCTTCTCCTCTCCCTGTGTTGGTGTGGGATGCACGGTGCATTACCCCACCTTCTCGGGGTGGGGGTGGGAAGGCACCTTGGCTCCTGTGGAAGTGGGGCCTCATCTGAAGGTGCGGGGCTGGGGTTGGGGGCTGGGAGCTTACCTCCCCCAGCCCTATCTTCACCCACTGTCCATGTCAATGTCTGTTCTTGTTGGGCTTTCAGGGCCCTTAGTTGGCAGAGGCCCTGACTTGAGGCAAGAACACTCCCTTCCTTGTGCCTCTTTAGGTGGATTTGTGCACTTGGCAATACTAGAGCAGTCACAGCTGCTAGGGAAATAGCCAGTGGGGCAGGACTTGAGGAGCTAGATTCCTCCGGATACATCTCAGGCTCTCTCTCTCTTCTCCTAAGATCCTGTTGTGACCCGCCCCCTCGCTCCCAAATTAAAACACATCTGTCCCCATCCCCATAACCCACTCAGTACCTGATCTTTCACTGGCAGGCTGGTGATAGCTACACTGGTGTATCAGGTGCAGAAGTCTGGAGATCGGAGAGAGACCTTTATCAATAGGGCCCTGCCAAATTGACGGTCCATTTTGGTAAGAGGTTTGCAGTATAGCTGCACTTACTTCTGTGAACTGGTGACAGCAGCGCTGCCTTCAGAGCTGGGCAGCGGGAGAGCAGCGACTGCTGGCCAGAAATCCAGCTCTGAAGGCAGAGATACCGCCAACAGTAGCACAGCTGTAAGGCTGGTATGGTATTGGCACCCTTTTCTTCTGTGCTGCTACCTGCAGAGCTGGGTTGTTAGTCAGCCGCTGCCACTCCCTGCTCTCCGCTCGGAAAGCAGCAGTACAGAAGTAAGGACGACATGGGTATAGTATTGCCACCCTTACTTCTGTGCTCTCGCTAGGGGGGTGCTACCTTCAGAGCTGGGCACATGGCCAACGTCCAACCACCGGTCTCCAGTTTCCCAGCTCTGAAGGCATGCAGGAGTAAGGGTGGCAATACCATGAACTTACTAAAATAACCTTGTGATCTCCCTGCAACTCCCTTTTCGGTTAGGACCTCCAGTTTGAGAAACACTGGTGAAATCTGTATAGTATAGTGGCCAAGCACAAAAGGCCAGATTTCCCGGCAGGACACTACATTCCACAATCCATGATGTGTGTTGCATGATTTTGATTTTGGTAGGGCTCTATTTATAGACCACAAATTGCCCCCAATGCCATTAATCCTGTAAATCTGCTTAACATCTTCCTCAACAGGGACTAGTGACGTCGAATGTATTGCTCCCTGTGTGGAGGTGTTTGACTCTCTATAGGGCACAGCATTTGAAGACTTTTCCGTCACACCTCTGTAGTTAAACCACCTGCTATTCTTTCTAGCCACTTCTCCAGTACCTAGTCTGCACGTTTCACCTTGAACAGTCTCCTTGTGCATTTCGGTCCTGTACATCAAACAGTATCTTGCATATTGTTTGTACAGGATGGAAACACACAAGACAGCGAGCACGTGCCAGCCTGCTGGATTTTACCAACTGGATTTCAGTCCATTGCAGCTGTCTCTGAAGAGTTCACGTGGGGGGGCGGGGGGCGTGGATTGAGACGGAAATGACAGTTCTTTGCTAGGAGTTGGGTTCGGTTTCCATGGTGTGCTTTGAGCCTGTACGCTCTCCTTTTTATCGTGTGTTACTCGCCCCATCGCTTTGCCCCCTCCTCACCAAGCATTTATTGGCAGCTGCATCATGGTGCCTCCTTAGCAATGGTGCCTCTTGACCTGTGATTGAGGAAGGAGCTTTGTGCTCTCCTTTCAGTGTTTATTTTTAGCTTTGCCAATATATATAGAACAGAAAATGAGCCAGACTCCAGCTGTTGATGAAGGTCCCGCATGGTGCCCTGCACGGGTGAGCAGGGCCTCACCTTCAAGTGTGAGAGCACCTGGGCCAGCAGTGTGCTAGGAACTGGGACAGTAAGGGCGGTTTTCAGGCATGTAAATTGCCTAGAACAGAGCCCGGCTTGGATTCCTTGGGTTTCCCTTCCCTGAGCCAGCTGCAGTTTCCCGTCCGCTCCTAACACTGGACTGTTGGAAAACTACTGATTTCTCCGTTATATCCCCATCCAACACCCTCACCCTCAGCCAGAAACTCCCCAGATAACCCTTCTGTATTGTAACATGGGCCTGCTATTCCCCAGTCTGCCAGGGTTTACTGTCCTTGGGCTCCTGTCTGTGTGGTGATGTGGACAGCAGTACAGAGATGTGCAGTGTCAGCCAGGGGCTCAGAGGTCATGGGTGAGGTTTTCAGAGTGGCACCAGGTGATTTAGCTGTGCATTCTCCTATGAATTTCACTTCCCATTAGATTGGGGCTAACTTTCCTGCCCTACTTTGTAAATTTCAATCGGTAGATTGTGGCAGGGGCTTTTTCTTACTATATGTTTGTACAGCACCTGACACATTTCGGGCCATGATCCTGATCAGGGTTTTGAGATACTAATCAAGTACATATAATGGAACACAATCACAGTGCCCTGAAATGTGACTGATTGGATAAGTGGCGTACCAGTTTTGTAGCTGCCTTCATATCAACTGTACAAAATACAGGAAAATAACCCACTTCTTCCCCTGATGGACCATATCTTTCAATAGAAAATGCCCCAGACATTAACAGACCAAGGGACACTCCACCCAAGTACCTGTCCCCTCTGCCACCTCTGACTTGATACGGTCTATGGGTGGCGTACCCGAGAACAGTTTTGCCTCTTAAAAACTCACACACCTTCATCTGGGACAATGGCTTGTTATGGACCCTATATATCTTATAAGTTACAGGTATTGGTTACTATAGCCCAAGCTTGACCCCAGATGTTCAGTGCTTTCCTTTTAAACCCACGTAATATGAACTTGATTTCAAAGATTAGCTTTAATACAGTTTTAAAATCCCCTGGAATTCAGTCCTGCCTGGTGTTAGTTTTTGGATGTTAGTTACTTCTTGGCTGATGAACCCAGATGAGGGGAACTTGGGAAAGCGATAACATGTATGTGGGCATATTCAATAAAGTTACTTTCTATAGAGACAGCTGCTTTTCGTTCAGCATTGATGATTTCCTCCCCCCGCCTTGAAGCCTGCTGCTTTAATCAGTGGCTTGGTTTAATGTTCTGCTTTGAAAAGCAATCAGAAATTAGCATGTGGTTTCTTCTCTCCAAGTTGTGTGTGTGTCTGTCTCTCTCTCTCTCTTTTTGCAGGTGTTGTATTGCAGAAGCGACTCCTGGAGCATCTCGCCTGTATGAACTCTTGAGCTGTCAGGGGATTGAGAGGCTTATGAGGAGGTTCTCTCAGGCGAAAACAGTGCCTAGCAAAGATACCGAGGAGGAAGGAAAAGGAGAAGGGGGAGGGGGAGCGGAGCTGAGACTCTAGCAAACCATGGTAGGTAATTGTCTTTGTTAATAGTGCTGCATTACAGTTAGCCTCCACCCCTAGTCTGTTATGGAATCTGTTAAAACAAGAGTGGAGGGATTTTCTGACTCTGCTGCATTAAAGATGTCTCCGCATGGTTTAAGCAAAGCAAATGAGCTTTGATTTATTGCTGGGGCTTTTTTCAAACCGGAGAATGGAGCCTCGTGAGCCTGCAGCACATGAATTATTAAACACAAATGAAGGGGGTGCTCATAAATAACATTTTCTAATAAAACTGGCATTAGCAAGCTATTGCAAAGGGCGTGGATGACCTTGAACTGTGGATTGCATAACAAACACTGACTCCTCACCCACCTCTTCCCCGCAAAATCAGATGTTGGGGCTCAGGCGTGTGTTCTCTCTCTCTTTATATATATATATATATATATGCACACACGTATATATTGTTAAAAATTAAAAGCCCTATCTCTGTACGCCCCTATTAATAGCATGGAGATGATACATATGTAACCAGGACTCATCAGGGCATATTTGATGACTAAGTGAGGAGTCACTTCCAATCTGCCTGCTTGTATCGGTTACAAATTGCAAGAGTCAGACACGCATCGAATTTGCAAAGCTGTGCAAATGTGAAGGGCTTGAAACGGTTACTTTTTCTAAAAGGCGTTTAAGGAGGGGGGGAAAACCCACCCAATTAACGAATTCCTGAGAGCCAGCTGTTGTGAGCAATTGCAGCCTATTGATTTTTTTTAAAGTCCTCTAAATGTTATTGTTGTGAGACAGGGAAGAGAAATAAAATCCTGTGGTAAGATTTGAGTAGATGATGGCTAATGAAATCTGTTACATAATAAGCCAGCCAAACAAATTAAGATTTCATCCTCTGTGGTGAGAAGAACACTGTGGGGAGGAAGGGAACTCAGGGAACACAGATTGGACTATAAATGGAAAGTTTGCTGAATCTTATGAATTCTTGATCCCGGAATCTCAAGCTTAGTACTTTTTACCATTGCCCGTTAGGGTGGCAACCATGTATTTCTAATTCACACGTTTCAACTTCATCGGTTTGCTGCTGCTGGAGTATTTTTTTTTTAATAATCAGTATTCACAAGAAGGGAGGTTTGGGGAGGAGGGGGCGAATTAACAAATCCAGCTTGCCAATCGATTGCTGAGCGGCAGCTGCCTTTACCTGGAATCATCTTGTGCTTTGTAACTGAAGTGAAAGGCAGCAGGGACCTTCAGGAATGGAATTTTAGTGCGTGCGAAAGTACTGGGAGGGGTGCAAGGGAAAGCACTCCTTACCCATGAATCAATGTGCTTCTCCCTGAGCCTGTATGTGGCCTGCGGGATAGGAGAACGAAATGCAGATTCAGCAGTGAGATTGCTTGGATCCATTACAGGCCCTGCTGTCTCTGAGCTCAGGCATGGTTACAAGCTGTGAAGTAGGGGGGAAGAGTCCCCCTCCGCTGCAGGATAATTGCAGTTTACGGAAGTAAATGTATAGCAAGAAGGCATCAGTCAGCTGGTAGTGCGGGTGGCCGGAGAAGGCCCTGCGATCCATGTACTGAGCATGTTCCCTCTGAACGGCAGAGAATCAGAAACAGGAAAAAGTTCCCTTACACAGTCAGATTGGTCTCCGAGCACCAGGATTTCATGTAGTGTAAGGGGAAACACCAGGTAGGTCAGAGGTCCTTGCTGGCTTGCTAACAGTTCAGATCATACATGTGGGAGGCCTGGCAAACCAGAAGTCTGTAAGTAGGTCCTAGATCTGTCACCTCACCGGATTGCGGAACTCTGGGAGCCCTTCTTGATTTGGGATCCTTTAACCCCTTGTTTTTTCAA